ATACAATTGTTTTTTCCTAGGGAATTGAGTATCATGGTACTCACAGAAATAATACTTTAAGTCAGTTCATCAATGGTGACAAGTGAGTATATAGCAGTGGGAAACAGTATGTTTTCAAATATAAAGGCAGCAGTTGTTGTTACAGATAATTTAGTATTATTTAGTACCATTTGATTTATTGAGAGTGAAAGTGTAGCAGGCATTTTTTTGGACCTCCAGTCACCAAATCATGACATGGAGTTATTATTAATTATGAATGCCTGACCTTAGCTTAAGATTGTTTCTAACTAGCTTTTTTTCCCTTTAACTTAAATTAACCCATTTCTATTAATCTAGGTGCTTTTTTGAGGCTTGTTGACCTCATACACATTCTGTCCATCTTGCTTTCCTGCTTCCTCTGCGTCTGTATGGCTGGTCCCTGGCTGGCTGACCTTGGCAGGCTCGAAGGCACCTCAATTCTCTCTGCCTGTCAGCCCTGCCTATCTTTCCACTACCGAGATAATGGCCATTCAGCTTTATAATAGATCAGTCAGGTGATGATCTATCAAATGCAGCAAACTTTACATAGTTAAACAATTATTCTGTAACACAAACAAATGCAATATAGTTTTATATAGTTAAATAAATACCCTATTCCACAACATGAAAGCTCTAGACTAGCTACCAGGTAGCAAATTGCAAAACATTTTGCATATTATGACAAGAAATTTAATCTTTTTTTTCCACAGAGGAAAAATGTAATATAATTTGTGTTTTCAAATGTTCATTCTCAGTGCATATGCAGTATGTAAGACGGCCTGGTATAAATAGCCAAACCAATGAAGAGACTTCATAAAAGATAATGTCTGTAAGAATGACAAAATCACAATGATGTTGCTGAATAATATGAAAGATTCTGGACTATTTTGTTTAAGATACTGGTGAACATGGTAGTTGATCATGGGGCTTATTATTTATTATTATTTTTAAAGTGCCAGTGGTCAATTTGGTAAATAGATTTCTCCGTAAAAAAGAGAACTCTAGGAGCATCATTTGAAATAGACAATTTGAGACATCTGTGTAACAGTGGAGTGGCAGGTAAAATTTTGACTCTGACATTGAATGCAGAAGTCTGACACAGCAGTAATCACTGGCCTAGATTTTATAGTCTTACCTTAAATGCTTTCACATACCAAACTGATATTTAAAGGTTTTAACATGATTGATTCTCTGTTGTGTGTTTTTATCATAATACAAATGTTAAGAAGATTTGATATTAAGTATACTATGAACACTGTTCACCCAGATGATATGATGCTCACAAAACTAGACTTTAGTTAATTCGAGGGATTTCAGCATCATATTTAATTTCCCTTCTATTGTCTTAGCTGCTCTAGCTAGTTTTCCTCTAGAATAAGAAACCAATTAATTATATTTTGTTTTCATTGTCTTACATACCTCCACTTTCAACATTAGTACTCATTCTGAACTTCCTTCAATTACACTTTAATACTCATTTCCGCCTTAGGAATTTATTTACTGTGCAAAGGCTTGTCTGCAATCATCCTCAATAACTTAGCTCTCCCTATTTTATAACAGACTGATTTCTAACCCTGATACCCTCTTTCATCATCAGGCAATAGCGATTCAATAAGCACAATGAGGAGTCATCAGGCAACATGGATGCATTTTCAGGTATAAAATGAGTAACTCTGAGGGATTTATTGTGCAACACGGTGATTATAGTTACTATTACTGTACTCTATACTTAAAGTCTATTGTGGGAAAACATATTGAGTGTTCTCATGCTCCTTATCAGGAAACAGATATGCTAATTATTTTTATTGTGCTAAATTTCATATTGTCTACAAGTATAAGTCATATTGCTAAGCCTAGATATATATAATTTTCATTTAGCAATCATAATTTAATAAAGATATTGGAAAGAAGGAAAACAGTATATCCTCAAGAAACTTCCAGTCAAATCAGAGGAAAAGTAATATGAGATAGCCTCAAAATTAAATTTACAAAGAAACCCATGTGAGAAAAACCTCTGAGGAATTCTAGTATGGCAGGTTGCAGCTGTCTTCTTTGAACATGACATTTGAACTTAGCTCTGAAATGAGTGAAACACAGTGAACAAAAGCAAGATTGGAAAGTCTCCAGAAGAGGATCATATCAATAACGGATTGTTTTAAGAGAGAGTAAGTACTTTTATAAACAAAGAAACAAAAAGATAAAAACTATGTAATTCAACGTGTCAATGAAACAAAGGTCCCATAAGTTATTGATTTTTAAAAATATGTGGAGGACAGTGGGGAAGGAATGGCATGGTTTAAATAGTTCTAAAATCAAATGTGGCCTTTGAAAAGATTTCTCCTATACTGTATAGAACAGTAAGAAGGGATAGTAGGGTGTAAGTTTAGATATTAATATATTAATAGAGTGATATTATTTAACATAGTAATCTATATAGCGCTAAAAGTGAAATGAATCCAGGCCCAGTGGAACACAATTATAATCCAAGTGTTTGGGAGGCTGAGCTAAGAGCACTGATAGCTTCAGGCCAGTTCAAGTTCCAGGCAGAGTAAGACTCTATAAAAAGGAAAGGATGAAATGGGGCACTAGCAATGAGCACAGAACAGAAATTCATTTGAAAAATGAAGATTATAGCCAAACTCACATAAGCACTATTATAACGCCCAAGGAAAGGCTATTAGACTTGTTCAGAGATTTTTCAGGACGATCCTACAGAAAAACTCAAATATTCCATGATAAGTTTGACCTTACAGAATATAATTCTTGAATTAAGAAACGTTAGTATCAAAAGAAACTTAAACCATAAATATAGCTCAAATAGAAACTGGGGATTTCATTTTCCTGATCCTTTTATGATGTACTTTTACAAATGACAGTTTTTTATGTAATTCAGTTTTAAAACAAACCATCTTGGAAGCCTGGCATTGCCTCCTTAGTCTAGTAAATGGGAGATACAATGGCAAGCAGAGGGCTCAGTGGGCACTGCCTAAGTTGTGGTCACTTTAACCATATTTCCCAACATTAGAGAAATGGGATAAATAGATTTATGAACTGTTTTGTTATTCTATATTTTATTAATTTCCACTCAAATCTCCATTACTTTTTGTTTGTTTTAGGTTTATTTATTCCTTTCCCTCAGTGTCTTGAGACAAAAGGTTATGAGCTGATATCTTTTTAAAAGGTGTGTGTGTGTGTGTGTCTTTGTATGTATGAGCATGTGTATAAGGGTGCTTGAAGAGCCCAGAAGTGATCAAACCCCTTGAAGCTACAGCTGCAGATGGTTGTCATTACTGAAGGTGGCTTGTAGGAACCAAACTGGGTCCTTTAACAAGAACAGCAAGGGCTTATAACTGCTGCACCATCTCTCCAGCCCCCCTTTTTTTGGTTTTTAAACAGGCACTCATAGTTTAAAATTTTCCCAAGCATTAATTTAGTAATGTCTTATAGATATTCATATATTTTGTCTTCATTTGCATTTTTATTTTCAACCTGTTTTCCCTGGAGTTGAACTTGCAATTCTCCTGCCTCAGCAGTCCAAGTAGCTGGGATTGTAGGCCTTCACCACCAGTACTGGTGTTTCCAATACATATTCTCATTTCCCTTTGTAATTCCTTCTTTACACGCTGTTATACTACGTAATTTCCACAGATTTTTATTCTCATAAATTTTCTTGCTATTGATTTCTAACTTCATTTCATTGTGGTTAAAGTGCACACTTGATTCTCTACTATTCTTTCCTTTTTCTTCTTGCCAGTGCATGATCTAACATGGTGAATATTCTACATTCACCTGAGAAGAATGTCTGTTCTGCTACTTTGGGGTAGATTGTAGTGTAGATGTATTTCTAGAACTATTTGCTTCTTATTGTTGTTCAAGTCTTTTATCTCACTGTCAACTTGTCTCTAGCATCCTAATAGCTACTGAAAGTAGTTGTTGAAATCTCCAATTAGTATTTTGAATTGTTTATTGTATCTCTGTGACTTTTTGCTTCACGTATTTTTTGTGTTCTTAGATGATTACATGTTTGTGATTGTAATAGCTTCCTATTACAATCAACCCTTTCATCATTAGAAACCATTCTTTATCCTGCAATTTTAAAAATGCATTTTGTCTGATACTTATATTTGCCACTCTAGTTTTATAAGGGTTGCAATTTATATCTTATATCTTTCCCCATTTTTTTTAACTTTCAGTCTATCTGTTTATTTTTGAGATAGGGTTTAATATATTAATTTATCATGTTTGCATTCTCAGGGTGAATGGAAATGATCTCGTTGCCATGTTCAGAAGTGGACCAAATCTGGAGGCAATGTAAGAAAGGAGAATGTAAAGAAACATATTCTTTCTAAGTGATGACAGGCTAGAGATGACACCTTTTTTTTCCCTCTGGGTTGCAGGGACCTGAAGTTGAGAGCTTTTCCACACCCTTGCACTCAGGATAGAAGAGTAGGGATCAAGTGATTTGGGCATAGAAAGAGTCTGAGGAAGGAAGACACATTAATCAAGAAAGATGAGCAGGGCATGCAGGCCTTTAATGCCAGCACTGGGGAGGCAGAAGCTTGGGGATCTTTATGTGCTTAAGGACAAACTGGTCTTTAAAAAATAGTAATGGAAAACTCCCTTCATTCCCCCACCTCCCCACGTGCCACCACTATGACATCAGAGTGGTGGTGGTCCAATCATTTGGCTACGAACACGGTATAATTTACATAGAACTACCGATTGGCTGAAGGGCATAAGCCCGCCCCCAAGATGACGTTTGTGTACAGAGAGTTTCCAGAGAAACCTCACTTTGTGCTGGCAGTTGGACAAGAGGAGTGCTGTTCCTCTATCGTCCTTAAAAAAGAGCTAAATTTGGTAAACAATCGGGAGATTTGATCCTGGTCATAGAACCAATTCAGACAACAGACTTCTGGAATGTGCTCCCAGTCTATTTTCCCATATAATACCAGAAAATCTGGTAATTCATTAGTACTACTTAAATGACTTCCAGAAAGAAAGGATCTCATGTTCGTGACCAACATTTTGGGGAAGGAGATGATTTTATGAAGCAGACATCAAGCTTCAGGCAGGTCAGAAAGGGGAGAAATCGGTCCTCAGATCAAAAGTCAGATGAGCTGAGGAATCTTCAACCAGCTCTTCCAGGAAGACCACAGAATTGTCCTGCCACAAGTCGCTCAGTGGAGAGAGGTCGTTCCTATGAGAAAACCTGTAGAAGAAAGAAAAATCCCTCCCCTGAGAAGTATCATGTTACAGATAAAAGACCCACTGCTGAGAAGCACTGCTCTGCAGTTAAGCGCACCTTGGCTGAGAAGCTTTTGTTAGCTGAAAAACATCATGCTACAGAGAAGAGTTCCTCTGCCAGGAAACACCAGTCTGTTGAAAAAAGTCATACTATAGGGAAATTTTCCTCTGCCGGAAAGTACCCCTCTAGGAAGAGGCGCCACTTTTCTGAGAAAAGTCATTCACCTGAGAGGCATCTCTCTGTTGAGCAAGATCTTCCTACAGAGAGAGGTCGCCTTATCAAGAAAAGCCATCTTAAAGAAAAACTACACTCTACAGAGAAACATGGTTTGGCTGAGAGAGGCCCCTATGGTGAGAGAGGCCGCCCTGTCATGAGAGGTCAACCTGCAAAGAAAGGACTTTCTACTAAGAAGAGTCTATCTACTGAGAAAAGTTACTTGGATGGGAGAGGTGCCTCTACTAAGAATCATCACGCTGAAGAGAAAGACCTCTCAGTCAAGAAAGTTATTTCTGCACAGAGAGATCACCAGGTAGAGACAGGACCCTTTGTGAAGAGAGGACACTCTACAGAGAAAAATCATCCCATCGGGACAGTTCGGCCAGCTGAAAAAAGTCACCTGACAGGGAAAGGTCCTTCACCAGAGAAGACTACCTCTGCAGTGAGAGGTGACTTCATCCAAAGCTACCCTGTAGAGGAGGGTCGTTTATCTAAGAAGGGCAACTCTGCCAAGGGAGAACCCTCTCCTAGGAAAGATCGCTGCAGAGGGAGGCCTCACCTCAGAAAAAGGTACCCTGAAGAGGAGGGTTACTCATTCGAGTTGGGTAACTCGGCTGGGAAAAAAACCTCTGCAGGTGAAGATCTCCCTGCAGGGAGAGGTCAATCCATCAAAAGCTGCCCCGCCAAGAGTCACTCAGTGGAAACAGGTAACTTGACAGCAAGAGGACCCTCTGTAGGTAAAGATGGTCCTGAAGGGCGAGATCACCTCACCAAAATCCCCTCCTCAGAGAAAAGCTATTCATCTGAGAAGGCTAACTCAGCAAACAGCGGACCTTCACCAGAGAAAGATCGCCGCACAGAGAGGCGTCACCTCAGAAAAAGGTACCCCGAAGAGGAGGGTTACTCATTCCAGTGGGGTCACTCTGAGGAGAAAGAACCCTCTGCAGGTGAAGATCTCCCTGCAGGGAGAGGTCTATCCATCAAAAACAGCCCTGC